CTAGTGGGGGTAAATCGGGGTGCTGATCACGAATATGGCGTTCGTTTTTGGCGTCGGCGCCATTTGGCGCCAGTTTGGCGCTACAATTTATTCTGCCAGTTTTTGATAGTAAACCCATTTGCAGGGGCTGCTGATGGTCCTGATTGTGAATATAGCGTTAAATTTGACGCTGAAGCAATTTGGCGCTCATTTGGAGGTGACAATCGAAAATGCAAAACTCCCGTAATGGAGCGGAGTCGAACCACAAAGACCCTTCCTTCGAGTCCATCACGCTATCTCCTCGACCACCAGACCACTGCGAATGGTGGGTGCCGACGATGCTTGAAACCTCTCATTTTTTTCCAGCACTACCACTGACAGTACTTCAATTTTTGGCGAATTTCACCTTGTTTTCGATACCATCTTTATCAGCGCCCTTCAATATGCAGGTGGTCTTCTGTACAAGTCCGAAACGTCACTCCAAAGCTGTAAAAACCGCCCATTCTCAAAAAATTTAATCGGCCTTTTTTGGCCATCAGGGATGTGGTCTACACATGGGTTCTTACAATATGCAGAAAACCGTTTCGAAAAAGTGCGGCTTTCCCTGAAGGACCTCCCTTGTGGGTAGATTTGCGGCCTTGGGTCGAAAATGACAACGAAATCATGTATAAGATAAGTCGTCAACTATGATGCGTTCCACTTTATCGAGCCTTAGCAGTAGAGGGGTGACATTTCGATGTCACCGCTCTACTGCAAGGGCTTGTGTAGTATTTTTTATTTTTTCATTCATTTTTTTATTTTCAATTGTTTTCGTTGACAGGAGCTATTGTTTATAAGCTTATCCTTAGGTTGTCGTGCGTGAATTATCGGCAGATCATGAAAGGGAGGCTGCCAGTGCTTCCCATAGGAATGTACAGCTTCAGGAACAAATTCGAGTAGGGTTTCGTAAATGCTGCTTAATTTTTTCTTATCCTTTCGTTATGCGAACGCAAATTTGAACACATTCACCCAGGAGCTGACTGCAACTGTCGAAAATTTGCGTGCGGAAATGGAGCGGTTATCACTCGATAAGCAAACTGTTGAAGATTTGTTAGAGTCGGCGAAGAGCTCACTTAATGCTCGGCAAAAGATTGTTGGTACGTTTTCTATTACATGAAATATTTATCGCTTCATTTCGCTAATAAAATCGTATTTCAGAGGATCTAGAGGTTCAGCTGGAAGAGGCTAGAGCGTCATCACGACAGTCAGCTGAAAGTTATCGCATTGATGATGTCACGTTGCGCCAGCTGTTTCTAAGTTACTTCACTGCAGCTCCAGATAAGCGTGCGGATATCGCCCTTACTACTGGCAAGTATTCTTCAGTATCCGCCCGAAGACGTTCATAAGGTAGGTCAACTTCTTTTTCTAATTTGTTCTTTGACCGTGATAAAATGGAAGGTAGGGTTGGTTACCTGCTTCTGGAGAGATCTACCGTTGGGTTAATCTTCGTTCATCCTTTTCCAGCGAGTGGAAGAGTTACATTATATTTATCTAGCCATAGCCACATTCATCAAGCCATATTGCTTCCATCCTACTTAATTCGCAGAACGAGTTTTCTCTGTTCCCAAGCCCTAAGTTCTGTCAAACAGGTAGATATATCGACCTGTATGAAAGGTGGTGTTCTGGGTTGATAATCAGTGGACCTTCTCTAAGTCGAGGTTCAGGTCACACCAACTCCGATGCCTTTACGGTTTTTGAAAATTGTCGAGTGCCCTGCGCACATTGACGTGGTTGATTATTCGTTCGTTCCTCTCAATGGTCATCCTCATCGTCTCCTTTAGCCCATTGACGACGACAGGTCATGCGCATGTGGTTCACGTTACACGCATGGTTTTGCTCGATTTATTTGACATCTTCATGATTCAAAACTCTTAACATAGCAATAATTTCGGAATCCGCCGAAAGCAGTGTACAATCAGAGTAAGGGGCCGTTGACGTGGGTCTATATGCCCATATTTCATATTACCAAAAAAAAAAAGATGCCATACCCATAAATCGCCTCCTGTGAATGTAGCTAGATAAACGATCTCATCGACCACTGAATTCCCATTTAAACTCATATTTCTCGATTTTAATTCAATTTTTCGTCCAATCTATTCGAGAAACTAATTCGCGACCGCGAGGAAAGGGAAACACTAATCATTTTCAAGAAACCCCGTTCGGGAAGGGCTTCTGTTTTGTTTTGGTCAACGTTTAGTATCTTTCTCCTAAGAAACGGAGATAAGAGTCAACACCAATTAATTTCCGTGCAATTTATGACCACAATTGAGTGACCTGCAAATCATCTTTTTCGTAAAAGAAAATCATAAGAAACCATAGGACGCAATAAGCACGCGACCTCAACCTCCGCTCGCATCCCATTACTGCCTCTATGAGTCACACTTTCCTTTTCATCTCACGCCGCCAAGTGATGAAGTGGGGAATTACTAACCTATATGTATTTCTAGTTCATTTATTGCTAAACTACAGTAAGATCAATACTAAAGTATTTTAAGTGACATTACATTTATTTCTTTCATTCACAGTTTGGTAAAGTGATAAGGTTAACAGGATAAATGCAAATATAGATAGAATAAAAATTGTAGTTTTGCGGAATGAAGCATCATTTTATTTCTGCTACTACTTTTTTTTGGTGGGCATCAGGAACTAGTGAATTCAGAAGCACTAATAATGGGAATCAATCTTTCTTCGTGGTGCGCCACCACTCGCTCTCTCATTCATAATCGCCATTTTTAATTTATTTGCGCTGTCAATTGTTTTCTGAGTGTTCAAAAGTTCCCGACCAGAACCAAACTTAGGCAGCTATAGTACGCCGACTTAACGCTCGGCTCGAGGCACAATTCTGCGTAATTTTTCTTAATCTTCCCGCTGACGAGTTTTGTAACTAATGTTGATGTAAGTTCCAAGATTATTCTGAGAGGAGTCATTTAAAGCTCATGACTGTTGTAGCGGTGCAACTTGCCAGTGCCCCATCTGGACTTAAGAACCATACTTATGAAGTGGTATGCCTGGGCTTACAAGAAATTTCCTCACTGAAGTTTCTCCTTGATCCCAGATTCTGATAGTTCGTTATGGCTGCTGTGATGAAGCGGTGCGCCGGGCAGTGCAACGACTCCGAGCTTTTGTGGCCGTCGGAACAATTAGGACCCTCTTCTTGGTCATCTTTAAAGGATAAAGGATAAAGCATTTGCCGTTGATCAATCCCGTTTTGGGATGCGGCACGCATTCTACTTCCATTTGTACATTCGTAGTGGCGTTTGAATGCGATGTGGCCTATACAATGACTTGCGGGGGCCAGCCGATGTACAAGTCAGTGTTTTTATCCTCCCAGACAAGTCTGGTACCAATTAACCGACCCCGGAGGGATGGAAGGCTTGGTTGGCCGGACGACTCACGACCCAGGATTTGATCCCGGACCGCTCGCGTGGTAGCGTGCCACTTGCCACTACACCACTTTCCGCCCTTTGGCATCTTTAGGGTTGAATAATAATCATTTAGCTTCCAAGAAGGTGTGAATTATACTCTGCTCGTGTTCAATAGTCGCCGTCAAAGTTTGAGTTACTAAAATAGAGCGGTATAATAATTTTTAAGCAACTTTCACTAAAAGTATTAGTTTTACCGGCGGTGTCGATCAATCGAAAGTACGGTTGTTCTCGCGTCTCGGTGGCTCACCTTGAGCCGCCGAGACGCAAGAACAACCGTGCTGAAATTGTGTCAAGCGTAGAGTGGTTGTTACCAAGTTCAACCCTCGGCCTTACAGTACTTCAATGTTTCTAGCTCGAAAAATTGTGCGAGCGTGCTTATCAGAGACGCACGTTCTCTCCGTTCATTTGAGGGTTCTTCGCCCGAACGTCATGGTCACTCGCTCCTCATCCCCTTCCTTTCCTGTATTCAAAATCAGAAAAATCCAAGCATAAGCTGAGAGATATTCTTTCTTTCGAAGGGGTAGAAAGCCTGTTGTTCCAATCATGCTTGAAATATTTCGAAGATAAAGGCTTAACATAAGGAGTTGGGAATTGTGAATCGGTTTTAAAGGCACAACCCAGGCAGAGGTCGTGTGAACTCTTCTCTTCGGTCAGAAGTATAGAACCCTAGGGGACAATCACAAATGTGGCGTTCACGTGCACGGAATTCGACCGACAAGAACGCTTTGGGCTTGCAAAGTAAGCTGCTCGAGCTGCAGCGAACGAGCTCTCTTATCAGGCCGTTGTCTGGTGCTCTCTCATCTGATGCGCTCTCTCGCCCCATACTCTCCTCTTCGCGCTTAGTCTCTCGTTCCTTTAGCACAGCCAATTAGGAAGGTGAGTGAGCCCTCAACCTGAGCGTTTTCGACGGATTCTTTTCCTTTTTTCTTCACTGCCGGCCCACTTGGCACCGATACATTCACATTCGTGTGCAAGAGCCACACCAGTGCGATCCTGGGGCATGCCTTTAAAGTGGATGGAGTGTTTTGTTATTGTTCATGAAAAGTTAACCAAGGCAACTGTGCAATTTTCTTTTGATAGCTGGTTTGTCACTTTTTAGTTATTTGATACAGTTGCTAGTACGATCTCTTCCACTTTAAGATTCGGCAAGCGGTCAGTGGCAGAAGTCCCCAACGCCAGGGAACCCCGAGTGGAAGTGTTTCACTGGCTGAGCAGTTCATTCGATTTCTGGAGAACGAGTCCGAGTCGGCAAGTACGGCTCCACATCTTCCTGTGGCACCGCGAGGACCTGCTCCAGGACCTTCTATCGCGCCACCGCCTATTGCCTCTACTGCGTCACAACCAAATAGTCTTGATGCGGTGTTGAAGTGAAGCACAATAGCATAACATAGCCTTATGAAATTCGGATCATATAACAGGTGGGGAGACGAGTCGTTTTGCACAATGCGCTGTAACGAGTGAGAGCATTGTGGTAGCCACGGATAAAATTCTATTGTACTCATTTGGCACAAGAGATTTTATTGATTTTTATTCGTTTTTAGTGTGTTTCATCACAGACATGTGGAAGTCGATAGAACAATTTCTAAATCCAACAACACGATTTTCGGATACCAGTCGACGTAGAGCGGTAAAAATGAAACGATATAGAACATTAAAACGGCATCGCGAATAGAAAAAAAAAACTGAATATTATCATATATCTAAAACAACAGAGACCTCGTAACACACTGAATGAGGGAGAGCGAAGATCATTACAAGACTGAGAAAGTAGCTGTACACGAAGCTCGGGCAGAGCTGGAGACCTAGCTGCCAAACCGTACGAGGGCGCAGAGAATGGACTAGAACTCGATTTCGTCCGACCCACCAACAGACCTGAAACTCTTTTTATCGTTGAAAAACGAAACTGCAGCATGGTAACACTGGATATATTGTACCAGAAAAAAAAAAAAACATAACGATCAAAAGGGTAAGCACTGTTGTTCTGTTCTGTTTTTGTAGGTTTTTTGTATTACACCATGACAAGAAAATCAAAACTCGTTGTTTCAGCACTAATAATTCGAGGTGTAACAACACACCCTTTAACATTAACAGGTGGCTGCTTTGCGATCGGATGATCACCAGTTCGGGCTTCCTCCTCGCTTGACAAAGCGGGATAAATTTGGGTAGCCATAGGCGGAGAAACCCAATCCGTAGAGGAATTCGACTCCGATGGCGACCCACTAGCCTCTCGCCACTCATCTGATGCTGGTACAGCTCCATACTCCTGAAAATCACAGTATTACTTGCCGCAAATTCTGATCGTGCTATGTTTACTTATTTGCTCTACTCAGGCCTTTTTTCATGTATACTATACGATACCTTAGTCGAATGAGGGTCGATGGGTCCACTCTGCCCGCTAATCCGTTTCCCGACTGAGTAGTAACGGGAGGATCGGATGATATCCTTGCGATGGGCATGTGATTACTATCTGAGCCGACATCCTGTTCAGGACTTTTAGCATCAGGAGGGTTATCACCACTTGCCAACCATCGCCGCTCACAGTCCTCTTCTGCGGCACGGCTCCAAGAAGGAACTCGTTTGGGATGCACATCGCATTGATCCTGCCGAGAATGAAGACGAGCGTGGAAAGACCTGCACGATCAAGTACTTTAAGAATTACAGAAGAATAATAGTTTCAAATGAAACATAACGATGAAGCAACCACTTACACTGAAGCATTCTGAAGAAAATCGTCGGAGAAAGGATCACTGGGGCTGGGAACGCGAGGAACATCCCAACATTGAAACCGGTCAAACAACACCCGTCCTCCCCTTCCAAGCCTTCGACGCGCCAAACCAATCCGACGAATAACACCGTCGCAACGGGGAAGATACGTCTCGTACAAATGCCTCGACTTGGGGATCTTAAAAATATAGCGAGTTTAAAAAATGATCCAAGAAAGCAAAGGTTTGGAATGGAAAGCAGTGCTAATACCTTTGAAGGCAAGTGGTCCTCAAGCGGATTGCTATCCGCAAAGATAGGGCCTCGGTACAGGCATCCCCTCCGTCGCTTGAAAACGAATGGGCCGTCCCGATCCTCTTCAGAAGCCGCTGATAGATCAACTTCAGCAACCGGTGAAACGCCAGATGGTGCGAAAACAGAGGGAGGGCGATTCCAAACTTCAGCATTCTTTTTCAGCCATGCCTTAGAAAATATCATGTTAGAAATGGGTCGAAATTAAATTTTGCTATTGAAAGGACAATCATCAAACTGGTAATACCTGACCTTGCTTGGAACCTCACGATCAACACTGGCAGCAACCGTTCGAATCTTCCGCCGTTTTGCTTTTTTCTTTAATAAAGCGTCATCCTGAAACACGGCCTGGTTTAGTGATGTTCTTACAATAACAACCTCCGGCATTAAAAAAGGATACCAACCTCAGACTTCGCGACACCATTCGCAACTCCGCTCGATGAAAGTTTAGTAGACTCTCTGATCTTGGCAATAAACTGGTTATAAATATTTGATCCAAAATCGAGTAATCCCATTCGGTGAGCAAGAATTTCCGAATCAAGATCTATCAGCGCTATTTTCGTCTTCTCTCGCCTCTTCACCATATCGAACAGTGTAACGGTCTTTCGGAGATCGTGGCCTAGTTTGAGTACCTAAATCAATGCAGACTGAAAATATAGCCAAGCAACCTAATCAAAACAAGAAGAACAAATGAGGGATAAAATTTAATTAGCACCTTCTCGTAGGAATCCTCATCATTTTTCCTGTTCT